ATGTGTTTTAAAAAAATTGTTAATTGTTAACCTGTGGCCTGCCAGCTAATGTTATCGGACAGCATCTGAATACAATGAAAAAATTATTAGAAATTTTTTCTATTTTATTTAATTTCATTATTCTTTTACTTAAGTTGAATTACTGATTTTATAGGCATTAAAGCCTATAAATTAGATAGAAGAAATTTTCCCATCCCACTTAAACAATTGTTTAAAAATATTTAAATAAATTTTATTTTCTAACTCAATGACTAACTCTTGATTTCTATTAACGTTTTTCTTATGCAAGGTCCTTACAAATATGAAGACCACTGAATTCATGAGTCGTGCTTAGGATTATATCTATGTGCTTCAAATAAAAATACATTTTTTAATTTTCAATATTAAAAGTAATTTTTTAAAAAAGTTTTAATGTTTGACATATATAAAAACTTTTATAATTCATTAAATATTAGCTTCCTAAAGTTGAAGTATAATAAATGTTTAATCTGTTTGTGCTATTATCATTTTGTTTTCATTTAAATTATTTTAAAACTCTGAAAATTTTGTTAAAGTATTTAATATGCATTTATAAAATATTAAAATTAATAAAATATTTAAATTTTATTAACTTGTGTTCAGAGCACACAGTTATTCAGAAACAAGGCCATTAAATGGTCTGATTTTGAAAATCCTCTTTTAGTAATTTCTAAGAAATGATAAAAAAAAATTAAAAAAAAATACTCACACATAAAAATTGAAACAGGACATAGTTAAATAATGTACAAAAATAATTTTTAATATTGCTGAAAAGATAGTTAGAAATTCAAAATATCTATTAAAAATAATAGGCCTCTCACTTTAAACCTTTTTGAACTTTTAGCTGCAAATCTTCCTGCATCAAAAAACCGGTTTCAGTTCTGGTTGTTATTCAATGGCGAGTAGTATATAGCAAGGAAATCTCGGTGCAATTTTACCCATGGGTCATTCCACAGAATTTCAACAAATATTTATTTTTTTGGTTGCCGCACCATTTTTGATTTTTTTCATACTTAGTATGTGGAAACATATGTACCAAAGAAGTAAAAATCCATTTGCAGAAAAATTCTATCTTCTTAATTTTTTTAATTAGGGGGGCTTGAAAATGGCGACCTTGCTCGTTTTTATGAAATTCAGGGGTGTCTTAAATCTTACATATTTTCTAAACTAATAGAGATAAACAAAAAATTCAAAAAGATATTAAATCTGTGTAGTTTTTCAAATTAAATCATGTAAAATTTGTGGTTTTATCTGTACTTAAAAAAAATTGTGAG